ATCCTGCTGCCCTTTCTTGTTAAATGTCGACTGAAAGGTTTGTTTAATGGATTACTACCTTTCAGAAACTATACACGAATAGGTTTATTGCTCCTCAGCAGCCAGAATTACAGGAAAACTCCACGATGAAATTCATAGCCAAAATGGGAAACATCAGTACAGGTGTCTGGCAAAACAACAATCCTTAAATCTTATCACATAAACTACTTAATTAATTTTGTGCTGTGAACACAAACACATGACTGTTTGGGGAATCATTTAGAATAAGAAACTGTAGTTATATTATTAACAAGGAGATTAATCATTTTAATAGCCAGAAACCTAATAACATCAAAGAAAAAATATAACTATGCTTTGATTCATGGTACGTGTCTGAATAATGCTAGTGTGAAATAATAAAATAAATGGAGACAAATTGTTCCAAAGAACATGTTTTGCTCCTGTGCAGCATTATTTAGTCTGTATTGTTAATCAGATTTGGCATATTCATAATTTTCAACAGGAAAAAAAAAGGAAAGCTTGGGGAAAAAACCCAGATATTCTCCCAAGGCAGTAAAGGCAGGTATTAACAATGTTCTCGTTCAACCTGTGTATGATTAAACATTGGTGTAGTATTTTTGCCATATGAATAAAATTTCATGAATTGCCAAAAAAAGCAGTCACATGAGCAAACATGTTTTTCACCATGAAATAAGAAGATACATGAGTGGAAAAGCTCACAGAAAAATATAATGCTCTACCACTACCTCTAAATAAAGATGGCATACCTCTTTCTTGGACTTAATTTATGTTCACATCCTCTCAGACCTTGCCCTTTTTACCAGATTTGGGTAAACTATGGTAATTTGTACTACTGATGCATACCAATTCATTTATATATTAAAGTATTTAAAACTCTATCTCACACATTACTGACAATTTTAAGGCAATTAAAAGCCTATCCAGTCTAGATTTTTATGTAAACTAATGGTTAAACAGCTCTCTCTGCTGTTTTTGGTCTTCTCAATCACTTAGTTCTTTTTCATTAAAACAAAGAAAAAAAAAAAGGGAGAAAAAAGCTTTAATTCTAGAACAGTAGGGGAGGAGGTTCTGAAAGTACACTGACTATAATTGTATTTAACAGAAAAGTACCAGGACAGTACTAATGTTTCAAATAAAGCACATATACCTTTAAGTCTGGTCAATCTGTGTGCTGGCTAAGTTAACACACAGAACACAGACCAGTTCTTTCACAAGTACAGCTTTTCTTCACACCATTTAATAATGCAAACAACTGTTACAAGTAAACATAGATTTTTATCTGCTCAAAAGGAAACTGAGCTGGGTTGAATAGGCCTGTAACCTCTCCTGCAGGAAAGATGCTTAATTTACAAACATGTTTAGAGGGAGCTTTTTTTGATTGTTTTCATTGAATACTATGCAATCAAAAATTAAAGCCTTCCAGGTGACAAGGACGGTCATGGTGTAATCCTGCTAAGAGATGTGTGAAGATATTTCTGCACACAATTACATCGTAAGTGCAGATGCCTGTTTCTTCGTAATATTTGCATCAGAATCTATGAGCAACTAGGTACAGATGGTGTGTAAGTCTACAGAACTACAGAAGTTTCCTGTGGATTTTATATATCAGCTCCATGCACAGCAAGACAGAGGGTGCTTTTCTTAATAATACACCTTAGTATAATATGTAGTTTTAGAAAAATACATATTACTGAATATTGATTTTAAAGTGGTTTAATTTTGAAACAAAAAAATCAAGAGATTTGAAACTTAGACATTGCACATTGAGATATGCAAGAGTTAATAAAGTTCAATTATATTGCACAGTTTTGAAAAAAGTGTGATAAATCAGCTATATAATTTCCATATCAATTAGGTTAAACAGTCACCCTAATCAAAACCTTAGCTCTGTGAAAAGCATGAATGTAATTTTAAGTGCTAAGCAGAAATTACTAGCAACACAGGAAATTAATTAAAATATAGTTTTTCTTCAAACAATTCAGATTTCAAATCACATCTGATAACCCCAAGAATTGTTTGGCTTTTTATGTTAAGTTAAAATTGACAAAGTTTCTTCCTTATTTCAATTAAACAACTTCAGTATTGCTCCTACCACGGCTATGTGTAGGAAAGCATCACTTACCGGAACTGACCACGAGGTGGTGATATTTGAACAGAAATGAGTTGTATTTGGTCCTAAAGAGGTTTCAGATGTGCTGAATAACATTTTGTGTACTAAGTTTTGGTTTAACACAAAAGAGCCAGGTTTCACGTGAATTGTTGCCATAAGTAACATAAGTAACGAGTGGTGTCCCTCAGGGATCGGTGCTGGGACCGGTCTTGTTCAACATCTTTGTCACTGACATGGACAGTGGGATTGAGTGCGCCCTCAGCAAGTTTGCCGATGACACCAAGCTGTGTGGTTCGGTTGATACCCTGGAGGGAAGGAATGCCATCCAGAGGGACCTGGACACGCTTGTGAGGTGGGCTGATGCCAACCTCATGAAGTTTAACCATGCCAAGTGAAAGGTCCTACACCTGGGTGGGAGCAATCCCAGGCACAGGTACAGGTTGGGCAGAGAAGAGATTCAGAGCAGCCCTGTGGAGACCAACACTTGGGGGTGTTGGTCAATGAGAAAATGAACATGAGCTGGCTTCAGTGTGCGCTTGCAGCCCAGAAAGCCAACTGCATCCTGGGCTGCATCAAAAGGAGCGTGACCAGCAGGTCGAAGGAGGTGATCCTGCCCCTCTACTCTGCTCTTGTGAGACCTCACTTGGAGTATTGTGTGCAGTTCTGGTGTCCTCAACATAAAAAGGACATGGAACTGTTGGAACAAGTCCAGAGAAGGATGATCAGGGGACTGGAGCACCTCCCGTATGAAGACAGGCTGAGGAAGTTGAAGCTGTTCAGCCTGGAGAAGAGAAAGCTGCGTGGAGACCTCATAGCAGCCTTCCAGTATCTGAAGGGGGCCTATAGGGATGCTGGGGAGGGACTATTCATTAGGGACTGTAGTGATAGGGCAAGGGGTAACGGGTTAAAACTTAAATAGGGGAAGTTTAGGTTGGATATAAGGAGGAAATTCTTTCCTGTTAGGGTGGTGAGGCACTGGAATGGGTTGCCCAGGGAGGTTGTGAATGCTCCATCCCTGGCAGTGTTCAAGGCCAGATTGGACGAGGCCTTGGGTGATATGATTTAACATAAGGTGTCCCTGCCCACGGCAGGGGTTTGGAACTAGATGATCTTAAGCTCCTTTCCAACCCTAACGATTCTATGATTCTATGATAACATGCAGGCCACCTGTCTATACAAAAAAAAATCCCACTTTATTTTAAGCTTTTTAAACTGCCTAGCATTGAAACCTTAAATAGCAAGCTTGCAAGAAAGTTGTAAAGGGATTAAATGTTCTGTGCGAGGATCTATGCCATCGTTGAAAATCGTTGGCTTAAGCTATCTGGAAAGTAAACAGATAACACATTCACTAGGTCTTGCCCTAGCAGGACCAAAACTGAAATAATAATGAAGCAATACGTTTGTAATCAAAGCATTCACCTAATAGATTCACTCAGACTAGATAGAAAGAAGAATTTAATTTTTTTTTTTTTTTTTACATTAAGGGTGTTAAAACACTGGAGGAAGTTGCCCAGAGAGGTAGCAGATGCCCCATCCCTGGAAGTGTTCAAAGGCTAGGTTGGTTGGAGCAATGTGGTCTAGTAAAAGGTGTCTCTGCATATGGCAGGGGGGTGGAACTAGGTGAGCTTTCCTTTCCAATCCCAACTATTCTATGATGCACAATATTCATTGATACTGTAGTGTTACTGTCATGAACTCATTTGTTGCATTGAGCTGATACACCTCCTTGACAAACACAGAGTGTAAAAGGCCACCTGACTGAAAATAAAGTTCCACACTAAAACTGTACCTTGGCTTGAATTCTAGAATTTCAGCATCTCCACTGCTATTTGTGCAACTATATCACCACACAACCGGACCTGGACAGAAGCACTTTCACGTGTTGGGGTGCCTGAGAAGGTGCAGGCAGGGTCTCAGCAACCCCTCAAACAGTATGAGGAGATGGAGAAATTGCTCTGGGCCCAGCTGCATCGCCACCCTCAGCATATCACTGCAGGAAGGTACCAGGCTCTCCCAAAACACCTTATGAGATAGAAGGCCTCTTCTTTCAAAGCTCCTGCCAGACTTGGCAAAACTGCAAAGAATCCAAATGGATTTTTTAATTCTTAGTATTATTTTACTTGCAGAGGCCTATCCATGCTACATCTTGGTCTGGAAGGTACTCCTAAGAGGGCATAAATGTGAGAGAATCACAGAATGGTTTTGGTTGGAAGGGAAAGCTCATCTAGTTCCAGCCCCCCACCACGGACAGAGACACCTTCCACTACAGCAGATTGCTTCAGGAATGACTACCTCTACTCCATTCAAGGAATAACCACCTGTATTCCATTCAAAGAATAGCTCCCTCTACTCCATTTAAGGAATAATTATATCTTCCCTTGCCCGAACATTTTCTCCAGCATTTTGCTGTCAGGGGCTGAAGAGCTTCTCGCACTTGGCTCACAGAATTTATTGTTCAGATACACACACCTCTGCCTACAGCATGAAACACGCTCATCCAGGGAAGGCCATCGCCCACCAAATGAACGTGGTTTAAATCACACGGGACTTAAACTACAATCTTGAATAATTTACTGTTCTACAGGTGGGTTACAGAGGAGCAGTGAATACTCTAGAGCGCACAGACTGCAGGACAGGATTGTTGAGGTCTGCATGCGCCGTCGGCAGTGCCCCCAGCCCCGCCGGGCGTGCCCGAGGAGGGCAGTCGGCATTCCTGCCGGTTTTTAACATTTATGGATTTATTTTATTGCCTTCCTTCTCCCCGAGGATCCCCCCAGGATACCCACCCCTCCCGCGCTGCTCTTGGGCCGGCCCTCTCCTTCCCGCTCATTGGCGGGCTCTGCCGCTCCATGGCCCAATCGCTAGCTACAGCGATCGTCATGACGACGGAGGACGCCGCACGACCGAGGCAGCAGCATGGCTACCTACAGACCCGGGGTGCTCATCGGCAACTGGAACGAGGACTCGTGTCTGGGGGAGGTGAGGTGGAGACGGGCCCCTCTCCCCTCGCCAGACTCTTCACCTCTCGGTGTCCCCTCAGATTCCTCAATACAGTTTAAACCTGAGGTTGGGAGTTCTGGGTAACATGCCTACCCCCTCTCTGTCTGCCAGGACCTCTTGAGGGATTTTCTTCATAAAAGAGAACGAGGAGAACTTCTAACACAGAGAATAAACAGGCTTCAAGACAACCTTTTAAGGAAGGTAATTTTTTTAAGACGATTATGTCAATCCTCAATGACTCCCCATAGACTGGAGTAGCTGTTATTAGTATCCTTTATGCATTAAGGATGCTATGGATTAACATTTTGAATGCTGAAATACTTCTGATATTAGCTTCAGATAATTCTGTAAAAAATTATGTATATTTCTATTCAGATACACCTGTCAGTGTCTGAGGATGGATTTGTTCATTTTGGAGACACAGTGATGCTTTTGAATAGTGACGACAAACCCTCGGTGGAGAATCCCTGTGGTGTGTGTGGCAGTCTGACCTTGGCAGTTAATCTGGATGAACTGTCCATATTTTCACCTCTACCACTGCAAACCCTTCATGGAGTTAGTGCAATCAAGAGTGTGGTCCCTGTGGGTAGAAATACTTTCTGTATTTTAAGGTTTGGAACTTTATTCGTTGTTTTCAATGACTACTTTAGCTTTCAGTACCTTGTTTTGAGAAATATGCAATGAAGTTTGCTAATATGCAAATGAATTTGAGGAAGATTAATTTATTTAAGGGACTTTAACTTGGGTTGTGCATTATGCTTGATTCTGTTCCACCTATGTGAATAATTCCAAGAAAATTTAAGCCAGCTCAGAAATGGTGTGAAACCAGAATGGAGTTCACAGTATCATTTGATAAACTCTGCATCTGTTTTGAAGGTGGTCATATTTCAGCTGTAGAATAAAAAACGTGTCCTAATTTGACTTGGAATCATTATTTACTCTTCTGCAAGTAAGGTCTCTGAAGTGAAATTTGTGTTGATGCTTTTTCTGTACATGGACAGTGTTTTCCTAAAAAAAACCCCATTAACCAAACAGCATATTCCCTCTCTCAAAGACATATATAATTCCAGCTGTTTGTGGGAGAAGAAACAGAAGAACAGCAGTCGAAAGCTCTGCCTGAGTGCATGCATTTAACAATAGCATGTAAGAATACAAACTAACCCATATAATCCTGATTGAGCAAAACACTTTGGGTTAGACCGAAGAAAGAATTTTAGTGCTAAGAGCATAATTTAGGCCTTCTAGAACTGCAACCAAAATGTTTTTGCTTAGCTGCTGACTGAATGCTATTGAGTCCCTCATTAAAAAGTTTATCAGCTGTAGCTGAAAATACTTGGTGAGCTTAGCACTTAATGTTTCTGAGAAAAGCAGAGATTATTCTGGAAATAGGGATATACCAGCATGCATGCTGATATAATGAGCCAAATTACTGAATATCAGTTACATACATTATTAGCAACTTCTGTTAAGTTACATACAAACAAAACACACGCTGTTCTACTTTTAGTATGTGATTCTATTGGTTTTTCATTTCTTGTTATCTCTCCACCCTGTATGTTAACGAATATATCCTAAAAAGTTATCAATACAGTCTCTTTCTATTCTGTTAAATATTTTAACCAGTAAATAATGTATGAAATGTCTTTTGAGTTAAGATATTTTGCCTATTTTTAAAGGTAAACTTCATACAACAGGTTGCCACAAGACCTAACTGTAGAGCAAAATTTTTTTTAAAAAAAGGTAAAGCTGATTTTAAAAATAGTTTCTTTCTTCCTTTTTACAATTTTAACAGTGTAGATGGAAGTGCACTGGGTGAACCAGTTAAATATGGGCAAGCCTTTGGTCTTGGGACAACAGGAGGGTTTTCTGGCCACATGGTAAGACAATAAAGCTGGTAATGGTAGCATATACTGATAGTGTGCATTTAATTACTATATATATGAAGCTGTACAGTGGTTCAGCATCTTAGCTTTACAGAACAGATTCAGAATTGTAAATAGATCAAGATAAGCAATACTTACTTAGAAAGTGTATGCAACTTACCTGAGATCAGGTGTGCAGGCGAAGGGGGCTGTCACACAGAATGTGTAGATGAAGGAGATTTTAAAAAAAGAAAAGAAAGAAAATTAAAATTAGCTTGCGAATCATGAAGAAATTCATCATTAAAGGGAGATTTTGACTTTTTTTTACTTTAAATAATTCTAAAATGAGATTTTATTCCTTGTGAAGACAAATCTATAGCAGGTATATGAGGTAACATATATAATATATTCCACCATTCCGAGGGAGCAGATTTCTATTAATCATTCATATTGTTAACATGTTCCCCTCAGCAAATTAGAAGCAAATAAGACATTATGGATTACACGTGCACTCAAAATAAACTTTAAAAAAATTTTCCTCTCAGCGACCACTTTGGTGAGAGAGAACCTTTGGAATGTACATTCAATTTTAAATTATTATTCACCAGTCTGCATACAGAATAGCTACTTAATGAGTTTATGAACAGCAGAGGATCTATGTTATGGGATTTTCATGTGTATCTTTAGCTTGGCAGACTGATTTCTCAGGAGTCAAAAGAAAATAATGAGTTGAAAAATATTTTCTTAAACTAAAGACCTGTTTTCTTTTATATTTATACTGTCCTTATTGTATATTTTTATTTACAGTTGTATCTAGCAAGTGACCATAAATCATTTGTAAGATTTGCTAAAAAATCTTACCTTCAGCAAGTTTTTTTGACAGATGAGCTTTCCTATTTGACCTGCTGGCAAGCTGCCTTCTTGGATCCACAGCTGCGTCTTGAACATGAAGGATTTCCAGTTCCTGTAAGAAATTAAAACTGTAGAAAACGTTGTGAAGATTTAACTGAAACAGTAGATGGAGTACTTAGAAACAAGTTGTGTGCATTTTCATAGAATGGTTTGGGTAAAAAGGGACCTTAAAGCTCATTTCCAACTCTCTGCCATGGGCAGAGGCACCTTCCACTAGACCAGGTTGCTCCAAGTGCCTTTGAACCTGGCCTTGAGCACTGCCAGGAATGAGGCAGCCACAGCTTCTCTGGACAACCTGTGCCAGCACCTCACCACCCTCACAGTAAAGAACTTCGTCCTAATATTTAATCTGAATCTACCCTCTTTTCAGTTTTAGTCACATGTTTTCTTTATGTAAGTTCTGACCTGTAATTTTAGGAAGGGGGAGAGGGAAGGAACAACCTCTTTAACCAGGAAATCTGCATATACAAGTGTGAGGTTCTGGTGTTTATTTTGAGGCTGATTTGCTTGGTTTTTCTATCAGAATTTTTTTAAAGGTTGACATTATCAAGCTGGGAGAACGCAGTACTTGGAATCTGCTTTTCAGCACTTCTGAGCAATAAATTCCATTTCCTGCATTAGGAGCTCTGATCAATTAAGAACTCCAACACATTAAATTTAAAAAGTATGAAAAACCCCTCAAAGCACCTGGATAAGTGGATGCCTTTCTAAATATGGGTTTTAACCCTTTGTAAATAAGTTAAGTAGATGGAGTATTTTTCTGTTCTCCATACCTGTTGGTCTTCCTGAAGTGTTGCAGTATGACAAAATGCTACAAATATAACTGTTCCCCTACAGCCTCGAACAGTGACTCATTTACATGAATCAGCTCACTAATATTTGACTAATACAGTCAAAATTATGTAACTGTCAAAGACAACATTCTTTATTTACAGTATTTGTAAGTGAAAGTGACTAAAAATCAGTTCTGTTACATATAAAAAAATTTGCAAATTGGTAAAATAGAAAGGTCAATTTCTAGGCTGCATCCCCAAACCATCTGGATCTTTCATATGCTAAATATCAACTGTAAGAAGAATCACCCTGATGGCAGAGGCCACTGGAATGACTCTCTAATACTTCCTTGACATTTTACTTTTTAAGTGCCCAGCAGAAGGGAGTGGTTGAGAACTCCAGTTGTGTTTTGAAGTGCTCAGCAGGAGGGAGGGCTTAAGAGCTCCAGTTGTGTTGAGAACCGATAAGGTATAAAATATCTCACTATAAATATACAGCACTCTTGAGTGATGTAGCTTACACTAAACAGTAAATAAAAACATTTCATTTGAATAGGAACAGTTAAAATCAGTATAAAAATTTCTGCCAAGTGTCTTCCCTTGGTTTTGTTTTTTTCTTTTCCAGGCAAACTCCAAAATTATTATTACCCATTGCCAAACTAATCGCAGCTTGGCTGTTCCAAGGAACTTTTGGACAAGGTAAGCATAATTTATGACTGGCAGGGATGTCCATAACAATGTGCCAACATCAAGAATTACTGTAAGAAGAAAGACAGATACTTTAGGAACACACTGATGAAATGGAAAAGAATGCAGAATGAATATTCTTCTCTTATTTTATTTTAATTAAGCATTGTAAAGGAGTATAGCAATTGTTTCCTATTAAACTCAGAGCAAGAGGTGACTGAGTATTTGTATCAGGTTTTTGAGGATGAAAGAAAGTCTGAAACTTTAAGGCTGAAACAGCTGTTAAGTAGCCAGTTTTCCTCAGTCAGAGAGAAATGGTGATGGGAACTTAACCAGCTTATACATACTGAGTCGGTGTACCAGAGCCTTATACTGATGGGGCTGCTTTGTCTTTGAAGCTAGGAAAGTGTCATTTCCTCCTGACTTCAAATTCCTACATTATTCATAGGAAACCAAGTGGGCTATTGCATTTCTTGTAAGGGTCTGATATTTAAAATTGGATGGTGATATTTCTGAGTAAGCCAAAAAAAACTTGAGAAAACCTTGAACAATTTACAGGTAATGCAAATCTGCTGAATTTGTATATGTATTCATTGCCCATCCCCATCCCCATTTTTCTTTGACTTTGCAGGTCTTATTTTGGAAGAGAGTATGAAGTAATTTGTCACACTTTTCTGGACACCCATAAAGCTGAAGAAGATAAGAATTACTGGGAAATAATTTCAGGAGATCCCAGTGATGAGGATAGTACAATGATTGATAGGCGCAACTGCCCACTAGGGTGGATCAGAAAGAATGAGTCTTGTGAAGAGACAGAATAAAAAAAATCCTAGTCTCCAGCCAACAGAGGTCAGTGAGATTCTGACTCTTGGGTTTCCTGTTCAGATTCTAGAGACGCTTTGTTTTAAAAATGGAAATGAAAGTCTACTGTAAGTAATATTGCACAATCTCATCATGGTTATACAGTGGGCAAAAACTAACATAATTTTATGAATCATGCAGAATGTTAAAAATTCATGAACCAGGAAGGGTTCATTTTCCCATTTTCCCATTCATTGATGGCAAAAAATGTCAAAATCAAGGAAATCTAATACATTTTCACTAAACTACTGGCTTTCAGAGGGTACTTAACCAATTCTTCCAAAACCAAACCAGTGTCACTCTTTTTAAAATGAGTGTACAGTTTCCAGAATGCTGAAAACAAAACTCATGAACTGTCATTGGATACTTTGACATTTAAAGTTCATCTGAAAGAAAGTTGGTTGTTGAGCTTGTTCCACACTCTGCCTAGCACAATGTTGTGAATTACTGAAAAATCCCAAATGAGCTGTCTCTATCTCAAGACTGGCTTCCAATTTATGGAAATGAACTTAAAAAGTGTATAAATTGATTTATGTTTGGCCATGTATTCTAAACATTTAAATGCCGACTGATCAAGAACTTGAGCACAGTGATACAGACTAGAGACTTCTGGTCAGCTTTTTCCAACCACCACCATTTTCCATTTGCCTCCCACCCACAGAATTTTTCAATTCATAATCACTTCTACCAAGTTTGACAGCAAGGTAAAATTGTTAAAATTAAGCCCCAACAATTCTCTTGAAAATATATGCTAAAGTAGAAAAAGAATAAGAGAGACTGTAAGTTTATCCAGTCAGAAAAAGATTGCTATCTGTGTTCATATGTAATTAGACACTGGAGAATCCGCATAAAAAAATGGCCCAATAATGGTAAACTGCAGCTGGAACTCATGTTTTGTTTTTTTTTTTTTAAACAAGAGTATCAACCAAGCATGAGATGCAAAGACATGGAAAACAGATGTCATAGTTACCTGCCTTTATATGGAAGCTGAAACAGCATCACAGAGAAACTTAATGCATGACATTCCATTATATCCATTTAGTAAAGCCACATGCATACATATTCCATTTCTTACTGTACCACAAGAGTGGGCTCTTTCAGCACAAAGGAAGTGAATTTCTGAGTAAAATACTACTTAAATCTCAAAACGGATTCAAAAAGCCATCTATGTTCATAAAGATCAAATAAACCTTTAAGTATTACCAACACGAAACCACTAAACTTTCACAAAAGAAGGGACTGGTCCAAACATGTCTCAAGGCTTTATTCCCAGATAGGCTGTTTCAAACCCACTGACAAGGCTTTAAAAGCTCTTGCCTTTGTTCAGTATAAAGTAAATCAGCAGACTGTGGGATGGGCTAACTAGCACTTGGCATAGAGGGTCTCAGAGCAGGACATGCAGGTTTGCTTTGGGGGAGTGTATCACAGAAGACAGGTTTCCAATCACAATCCTTGTGTGCAAACCTCCACAGGTCTGTTATAGATGGGGTATTATTGAGGAAATTATCTTTAGGAACTTTTTCTTTCACTTTCTATGTAAATATGTGAAATCTGACATGTAACTAATTATGCATGTTTTTATAGACACTGTTACTACTCCAATTTATAGAGATTAAAATTCTGCATGTTTTCACATTCTGCTTGGTTTTGTAGGTATTAAACTAGAAAAACTTTGGCTGCATGAGTGCACTGCAGTGTTTCTAATTTGACTGTTGTGGGCATTTATTGGTGTTGGGGATAGTTATTTCAAATCTGGCAAAGTCTCTTTCCTCTCAGTTAAATGTAAGAAACACGAAGAGGCCTTAAACCAAAACCATGGCTGAAACAAAGTTTCGTGTGAACTCATGAAGGAATGAGAGCTGTGTGGGCAGAGTGCCTTCGCCATGGATAGGAGCTGTTGTGTGATTGTGCAAGCATTTAAGCGGAACAGAAGCAATGTGGGCTGTACAAAACCAAGTTTTGTAAAGTCTTAAAGGAAAACCAGATAGATAGATACAGGAGTAGGTAATGTTGGAATTTGGTGCTGATTAAAATGGCTTGGAGACTTATGTGCATGATTTGATCAGTCTGCGCTCATGGGAAAGTACTTCCCAAGCTGTTGGAAAATAAAGAAAGTAGAATCAGCAGTTCCTGATCCCATTATCAGTTTTTCTTACCTAATACAGTTTCAAACCCACAGATTTGTGCATAGCTTCTTATACCATATAACGGCTATTTATAATACAGCTGATTTATGATATCAAATACAGATATTCATCTGCTACCTAGTTTTTAAAAACTGTTTTTTACAGTTCTTATATTGTCCACATGATGGCACCACATTTTTCTAAATAGCACAATTACTGCTACATATGTAAAAGACCATGAAATGTTTAAATCCAAATGAGTCCCTGAAAATTGGCACAAAAGCCAATCAAGTTAAATCAGGCCTGAATTCTGGGCTAGGAAATGCCATTAATGTTTTATGGTGATTTTGGAAAATAAAGTTAAGCAACAAAGGGAGCTAGGACGTAGAGCACTGTGTATTGCATACAGTCAGCTTCTTAAAGCTAATTGGAACATTAAGTAATTTGTAACCAAAACATACTTGGAGGAAATTATCCTTAGGAGCTTTTTCTTTCACTTTCTATATAAAGTTGTGAATGTATCTTTACATAGAAAGATGTGACAACCAATGCATGTTTTTATAGAGGCAGTTATTACTTACTCCAATTTACAGAGATTATAATTCTGCACATTTTCACAACCGATTGACAAAATTCTGCTTTGATTTTGCAGGTATTAAACTAGAAAAAAGAAAGTCATGTGTAGAATGCACCACAGTCTGTCTGATTTGGCCACTGTGGTCATTTATTGATAAACACAGGATTTAATACAAAGACTTATGTGATTGAATATTAGTGCAGGATCTGAACAATCCTGCAACTGCCAGTTAGAGACACAGTGTGTTCTGGAATATAGTTCAGATTGCCATTCGGGTAATGGCAGTGATGCTTGCCTCATCTGCAAACCACTTTGCCGTATACCACGAAACACAAAATCGAGTATGAAGAAACCTTTTAATGCTTCTTCCAAATGAGACCCAATATGGATAGCTCTACAAAGTACACTGTGGGAAGAGAAAACTCACTTTGCCTCCATTCCAGGCAGCTCATAAGCTGTTAGCATGAAGCTGATCCTGAGCTATTAGTCCTTGCTGAGAGACAGGGCGCATTAGTTCAGATTTACTGCTGTGCTACTATAGCTTTTCAGAGGCCTGAGGCACTGAGAAAACTTACATTTGCACACGTTGTGCTGTACAGATGTGTTAGCAGCACATTATTGAAGTAAAGAAGTGGTACAGAGAGCTCATAGAGTCAGCAAAGAAAAGCTGACTAGTAAACTAGTTAACTCACACATTGGTAACACTGGATAATGAAAATCCAGTTTTAAATCTGCTTTTCCTCTTCCCTCTCTTTTTAATGCTTACCCAAATCATATTTCCAATCACATCACTTCTACTCTGCTGTGCCACCTATCCCAAACTTACTGATTTGCTGTGGTTATAAAGTGCTCTTCAAGCACTCAGCACAAGTCCGTGGCCTGTCACCTTAATTACATCAATATCCTTAAGAGGCTATTTTTCTTTTCTGTGGTTATCATGAAGTATTGTTTTAGCTCAACTGATCAGAGGAGGAGGCCATAGGCAGGTTTGGTAACTGGATAAGACATCTGAGGGAAAAAAAATAAACAAAAAACAAACACCCAGAAAAAGCACAGAGAATATTACAATAAGAAATTCCACACAACAGTGGAAGGAAAGTATCCAAGCACTGGAAAATTTGGTGGAGTTGGCAGGTAAGAGGGTGATTTTGATAACATCTGTGCCCACTCATCCTAAATTAACATTGCATGTCTGCTGTAATTTGAGGGGGACTGGGGAGGTGGAATGTTCTTTTAAAACCAAAGCTGTTGCTTTAGAAACACTCAAGACTTTTTAATGCATGAAAACTAAACTAAGAGGCCACAAAATAATAATACAGATATGAAATCAAAATACATTAAATACAAGTGGAAATTAGGCAATCTCTGTCATTTTGTCAACTACACTTCTATTCTAGTCAAGGCTTTGTTCAAGTGTCACGTCCATTCTCTGCCTGACCTGCCTGTATACAGCCTTGAGAGAGGCAAGCCACAGCTTCTAAGCCCCCTGCTTCATGCTGGTTTGCCTTCATCCTGGGAGCTGTAAAAGGGAATCTAGTTCTTAATACTGCATTCCTCCTGGATAACAGGAGGAGTGGAAAGATCTGTCACCTTGCTGGATGTGTGCTATTTCAGCATGGATATGAACAGCCATATAATGTCAACTACACTATTTGCATGCTAGGTTAGCATTACTTACAAGGAGAAGTACAATCTGCAATAAAGACCACCCCCCTTTTGGTTTGGGAGGGATTTGTTTTGGTCAAAACTGTTATAAAAGGTATGTAATGAAACAATTGACACTTTTGTTCATTTTTTCATTGCTGGGCTTGTACAAGGCAATCTGTTACCCAAGAGAAGAGAATCATCAGTGCAGCACTAGAAAGCATTACTACAGCACTTAGCTTTCGGGAAGTTTCTGTATTTTTTGGCAAGGAGGACTCACAGTGCAGTAGAATAGGCACAAACATTAAAAAATGCCTGATGACATTAATACCCTCATTCAGTGATGAAATTAATTTATACACATGCATCTCTGGTGTATGTTTACACGAGAAGCTCAGAGAGCTAATTTCCCAACATCTGTTAAATGCTGCTTCATATAGTACGTCAAAACAAAACTAAACAGACCATCCAGTTACAGGCCAGCTAGTATATAAGTTTCTATAATGCTGGTCTTGTTTTAATTATAGGCTCCTTGGGGCAGGGACCATATCTTCATCTTTTTTTCCAAATACGAATAACTACAGCAAGTAGTTAAGTAAGTAATGGCATAAAGTGGTTATTAAAAGTGGTTTTAAGATAACGAGAAATTGATGTAGACCTGGTGCAAATAAACAGAGATAAAGACATATGAAATCTATACATAAACCAGCACCAAATAGTAAACTCTTAGTGTGGGGTATGGAGCTGTAGCTGCCCAAGTAATTCTGACGTTAATAGGAGTTGCTAGGAGAAGAGCCCACAAACCACAGTGCTGTCCCTGTGGGTCTGACAAACCCACAAAGGGGAATAAGAATTATACATGGCAATGTTTACTTTCATACATATATTTAGTTATTTAATTATATGGCATAGTTAAAAATACCTAACCAACTTAAGTCCCATTTGCAAAAGTGACACCAGTCCTGAGAAACTGAAGAGCTGTTTCTGCAGCTTATTCACATTAGGAACTGCTAGGAATTAGGCTGTACATACCTTTGAAGATCTTAGTCTGACTAAGAAAATCACTTTCAAAATGGCAGTTAGCTGTTTCTGAAAATTCTGTAGAATTTATGAAAACATTAAATCCCTAAACGAATGAAATCAAGAAACTAGAGAATAAGCAGAGCACTGAATTAAAGTTTGAGTTACTTTTCCTTTATGGGAAAAAGCTCTTAAAACTCTTAAAATGCTAATTAACATGGATTATTGGTATAGGATCTCTAAAAGACGAAACATAACAGTTTGTGAAATTCACGTCAGGCAGCAATTTCTATCCACCTCCCTGGTTTCCTACTACTTTTCTTGCTTGAGCTTTCTGCCTCTTCTATATCCTGAAGAAATAACTGAGCAGTTGCTTAGGGAAAAGTTTAAGGTTCATCAGCTTTTCCGGTCTTTTTGCTGACAATTTTGGAAGCATCAGTTTAGCCAGAACACCCAAGATGTATTACAGACTTGCAAATAACTAGTGAA